CTTTCTATCAAGATTTCTAAGAGGTATTGTATGACGTGAAACTCTTATGCTTGCATATCGTCATAATATCTCTAGTTTAGCCTCGGAGGAAGGAATATTCAAGTAAAAACAAGGTGACCTAAACCTTCCGGAAAATGGTGCCCGAGGCCCCATTTTGGGGTTCGTTAATATTTTGGGCCTTCATTTATGAGCTTGTAATATGATGTATGTAGCTCGTACAAGGGAGTAAACTAGAGTGCTTTGGCCCGAAAATACTCAAAATACAACCCAAAGGGTATCAAAAGTATAAAACATCCCTAGAGACTACTAAATACATCTTTGAGTAATTACTGTATGGTATCAAATATGTAGAAATGATATGAAACATACCATGAAATGTGGGTGTAAAACATACATTTTACGTTTCATTAAATAACCCCGCACTTGAACTTTGCTTCTCCCCAAGCAAACCATACTCGTAACCATACAACTCACTATAGCTCTAAGATGACAAGTAACTTACAAGATCAACCCTAGTACTTAGAAAACTCGATCACGGTAGTGAGATGCATATACTGTAAGGGCAATTTGACCAACTTCCACCAATCATGAACATCAACTAAGCACGAGAGTCTAAAAAACACATGGAATAAAGATTTTTTTTCCAAATTTTGTTTTTACTTTAAGCTTATCTATGACTTTTTTTTAAAACCATATTTTTATCTCTTTTTGCATTGCTTGTCAGTCTGCACTTTCGAGTACAAGTGGGCTCTGTTTCTCACTACCATTGATTGAGCTACAGAAATATCTGCGTTTTAGCATTCGCATAAAGACTTTGTTTAACTCCTTATCCTTGATCCATGTGGAGGATCAATGCAATAGGGGGTTGTCGGAAGCTCTATATGTGCCCTCCAAGCACATGTTGATATGACACTTCCCCTCAACCGGGATTGTAATAAATAAGCAACATCATGTGTTCGTGAAATGATGCGTAGTTGAACCTTTCCTATCCCCTTGTGCAACGAGTGATTACCTCACGCATTTGCATCTTTTTACCCAAGAATTTATTCATTATGGCAACTTTCTTTATTTTTCCTATCAGGTAGAATTTTTCATTAATAAAGATATAGTTCACCCTCTAGAAAAATTTAAAAGCAGCAAGACTCAATAGCATATTTTAAAAGTTCACAAGAGATAGATGCAAGCACGGTTATTCCTAGCTATTGGACCTTTTGAAGAATTATGTGTGAGGAACCACATACATTTTGAGAAGCCATATTCAATCAACATAAACCACGTGATGACGTTTGACTTCGAGCCCTTTGAAGACTTATGTGTGAGGAACCGTATCATATACAACACTGTCTCATGGGTTTGGATATAAAGAATCCTCTTCCAAGGGTATTACTAGCTATCGATCAAGGCCGAAGGCCTAGAGATAGTACATACATGTCATTCATGCTATACTCACACCAAAAAGAACCACTTACCAACTAGCAAAAAGAAAGCCATCACCAGTCTATGGCGTCGTGTCGATGGAGAATAAACCTCCTAGTCCCATTTCCCTAAGCTTCGTTGGGAAATCAATATCTCTTGGTTGTTTTATACTACTTCACTAAGTGGATTGAAGTGGAGCCTGAATCCACAAGTTCTTGTTTAATAATAGCCTCATAAATTTTGGGACGCCCCATTCAATCATCTTAGACCATGGGATGGAGTTTGACTATGCACTCTTTAACACTTATTTGCGATGAACCGCATCATATACAACATGGCTTTGGTGGCATTTCCACAAGCCAATGGTAAAGTGGATTCATCAAACAAACTGATTTACGAATATTGAAGAGGCGGCTCAAGGATCCCAAAGGGACATGGACCATCAAGTTACCTCACATCTTATGAACGTATCACAACACCTATAAAAGCGTGACATGAAATGCCTTTCTCTATAGCTTATGGAAAAAAGAAGTCATCCCAGTTGAAACAACTCTCCCTACATTTTGCATTGTAGCCTACAATAGGGAGAAAAATCATTGGGATTTTGTACAAAAGCTTGACCTAGTTGAAGAAAGAAGAGAGGATGCACTACTTTGTACCACGGAGGAAAAGGACAATGTGTCATAAGCTTATAATGATAGGATGAAACAACATAACCCGGAAGAAGGTGACATGTTCCTCAAAAGGGCGTTCGAGAAAAAGGAAGATCCCTACCTCTTCAACGATAAGATTAGTCCCATCATTTCAAGTTATCCGCCAAGTAAGGGGAAAGGTTAAACAACACTTGGAATGCTCTTCACCTTATAATGTATTTCTCCTCAACCATGTAAGGTGGGAAATCATGTGCATGTGTAGGATTCCAACCCTCTTTTGTTTTTGTATGAGCTATGCCTTTGAACTAGAAATTAAAGAATATTATTTATCTAAGCATCTTTGCTATGGAACTACTAAGCTTTAGTTATAGATACAACCCAACTCCTATCAAGGTTATGTTACACGTAGGAGGCACAATCACGACTCGCAAAATATTGTGTAAATGGTAAGAAAACATGAATATAATTTAATAGCCTATCAAGACCAAGATATGCATAGGGGGCACAAACATGTATATCAAAAGACTATATGAAAATAGCATTACATGTGGGATGAACAATCGCATATCCTAGAAAATTATATGGTTGCTAATTAAACAATATGAACCTAATGCGACTGTCTACCCGGGCAAACTTATATGAGGGTGGCACACTATCACGTTTCCCAAAAGATGTGGACGATAAGTAACGCGAACACAACGTGATAGCCTGTCTTGGATGCATCATGATTAAGAGACACGATCACGTCTCTCACGAGAAGTTTCATCGATGACTTAATGGGTATTTCTCTGTGACAGCCTTCATGAGTGTGATAGACTCTCACTACTCCTATCTCATGTAATATTAAGCTTAATTAAGGGTCAATCATGCTTTCCCTAAAATTTCCAAGATAAGGACATGAATAGAAGAATACTCATTTCCACAAAAGACGCAGTTTGAAAATACGAAACACCCACCATATCTTGTTAACATCTTGAACAAATAAAGAAGGGATAAAGAAAGCATAATTACAAGGAATAGGGAATAGTTCGCAATAAAACAAAAATGATCCTAAACATATATGACTTAGTCCAAAGATTCCTCATATCTCCCAATCATCCGCAATAATCTCTACCTCTGTATTCATGTTGTCGTCTTTCCAAACCATCACGACGTCTCATACCGCGTCTACGTTACAGATATATCAAGATACACTTGGAGAAACCAGTGGCCTATAGATAACACCATGTTTTCCACCACCTTGGAATGATTGTGTTGTCCTCCTGAATGATTGCGTCAGACGCAAGATAGCGCGGCATGGCCATTTCCAAGGTAGACTCCAGCTCCTTCTTGTTAAATTCAACCTAGGAGATCTTTTCCACATTGAGTGTCTCCAAATATAGGGAAAGCTCCTCGTCATGTTAACAAGAGGATATTGATTCTTGTAATAACCGATTGCATTTAGTATGAAGATCTCGTAATGTTAACAAGATCGTCAATCTTCTTCATTGCTTTCCTAATCACTGCATTATTCCTTGCCAATCCCTCATCTTAATTTCACAGGGTTCTTCAAAATCCTTTGTAAATGAAAGGAGAACCTTTTCCCAAATCAGATCTTTTCCTCAACTTAATTTAGCCTCTAGTTTCTTTTGCTTGTCCGCCACGACAATCGAGTCGACCTTACCCTGTAGAGCATCATTTAGCTTGACCATCTGGGGCATGCCCACCTCGTTTGGAAAACATGCACCAAACCACTAAGTGTGTTAAAAAAGAGCACTTATATTGAAGGAAAATGAAAGCACGACCAGCTCCCAATACTGCCAAAAAAAAAAAAAGAACGGCCATGGTACCGGCCAACTTACGATTGTTAGCCATCATAGTGGGTGTATATTCAAGTGGAATCTCCAATTTATCAATGAAATTATGCAAGACGTGTATGGTTGCATCGAAATTTACCTATGGAGTATATCCGCAGGGCAGTATTGGCAGTTATCTAGGTCCTTTTGGCTTGAGAATCGAACCCATTGACTCCTTTTAGAGAGAGCATGGGGTGATTCACTTTAGATCCGCTAAAAATGATTTGAAGTGCCCGAGTGATGTGTATATTATGCATAAGAATAAAGAGCAGTAACTAAAAGCGGGTTGAAAGCAAGATAAATGTATGAAGCTTAGGGTGGTTTTCCCTAGTGTAACCAACTTTGTTTAGCAAAGAAGACATCGATAAGATAGAATTACTTTGATTTATCCACTTAGATCTTACTAAGTGACTTACTACTGAACGCGAGGTCTCGACATGTAGAATTAGTAATTATCCCTATCTAATGCGCAAGGTCGACATGCCACAAGATAGTTATGAAATTATAATGTCACGGACAACATACTATATAAAATAACTCAAGAACTCTCTTGTTCGGTGATCTAGTAAATGTCTATGTGCAATTTCTCATTATGCATATACCAACCATCGATTATCTTCAATTACCAACGCATGCGTGAGGTTTCGACATGCCATGCATTCTGGCCTCAGATGCAAATTATCCATGACTGCGCGATTTCTCGACATGCCATGCATTGATAATTGAGGTAGTCAGGCCAGAGTTATAATCGCAAGTAGAAACTTAACTTTGATATATTAATTATTACTAAATAAAAGTACGGATACGCATAAGATCTGACTTGGTGAATTACAACCTGGCCTAACTGCAGTCTAGGGGGAACCTTATCTGGGAGACCTCTCTCAACTTTGAACACAACTTTCACTGCTTTGCTTGCTAGTTTAGTTAGACCTTCACTACACTTGAACCGCTAAATCATAAGATTTTCACGCAGTAGTCATCACATCTAGGACCCGGGTTGACATTTAGAACTAAACCCGCTATACTACGCATTAGTAGGTGGTTACACTTGGCCACTTTCAAGTGTAACGACTAGGTTGTTGAAGAAACGTGATTTCTGTTACTTTAGCATTTCTTTTCCGCATTGATTGTTCGCTTTTCCCACTTGTGTCTTCACGGGTTTGCTTGCTTGGCTGTGTACAAGTAGTGCATGACCCGTAGCCAGTCGGGAGGTTTACTACCGTTAGATCCGGAGCTAGAACGCCCCTGTCGCCAACTAAGGAGACAACAGAGAGCAAGACTGGCTACGGAGGAAGTGCACCTCGACGGCCATCTGAGCTGCGACTTCGAAGAGGAATACGAGAATGGCGACAAACACAATAGGGGGAACCTTAACCTGGGGCAGAATCAACCCCTCGGGATGCCCATGCAGGTTCCCCCAGTGAATCAGATCCTGGGGAACAACCCAGTCCCCCAGGCAGATGGGGCTTAGCTTCCACCACCCCCGTTGGGTTCTACTATGGAGTACTACTACACTCCACGGGTCGCCGACATCCGCCCTGTCATCTTGTATCCGCACATTCCAGCAAACAAATTTGAGATCAAGCCATGCTGGATTCAATTGATTACATCCTCTATCCATTTCCATGGCTTGAAGGATGAGGAGGCGATGGTACACGTTTCCCGGTTCCTGTAACTAACAAATGGATTCAAGATGAATGGTGTACCCGATGATGCGATTTGTCTCCACCTTTTCCCCCATTCTTTGGCGGGGCATTCGAAGAGGTGGTTAGAGACCCATCCCCCACTATCCATCACATCGTTGGACGACTTGGCTGACAAGTTTGTGCACAGGTACTATCCGTCCTCGAAGACCATGGAGATTCAACAGCAGATCACTCATTTTCGCTAGGAGCCAGATGAGTCACTACGTGATGCCGGGGAAAGGTACCTGTGATTCTTCTGGCAGTGTCCCCATCACGGTTTCAATGATGCCTTCATAGTGGGGAATTTCTACAGCGCTCTGACCCTAGAGTGCTAGAGAGTGATCGAGTCTCTGCCCAGGAGGGGATATTCTCACCAAGACTCCACCCAAGCTGAATCAGATGATCAATACTCTAGCTGCTAGGGATCATTCTTGGGGGCAGAGCACCAGACGCATGAGTTCCCAGGACCGAGGTGTGCACGCCATGGAGGCTAGGTACGGTCTAGAGCGGGAGGTGGCCGAGTTGGTCCAGACATTGAAGCAGCCCAATAGTGTTATTCCGGGCAGAGGGCTGGCCGGGCCTTCTGTTGCACAATGTCAGTAGTGTGAGAGTTCGAACCATCTGGTGAAAGACTGCTAGGATATGCGGGAGTCTTCTACACCCCAGGAGTAGTTGGACTTCATCGCCAATGCTCGACGCCTTGATCCATACAGTGGAACATATAATGAAGGGTGGCGCCAGCATCCCAACTTCTCTTGGAATGCCAATAATAGCAACACCACTAAACCACCTGGTTTCCCATCACCAGCAAGTGGTTTTCAGCAAAGGCAACCCTTCCAGGCCAGGCAGGGTCAAGTTCTACAGCAGCAGCCTTACCAGCCCATACAGGGGCAACCATTTCAGCAGCTGCAACTCCAGCTCTAGATACCCAGATGACGGAGCTGGAAAAACATTTTGCAGCCATTCATGACTACTAGCCAAGCAAATTTCACCAGGATGGACCAGAACATAACCTCACTGGAGGCAGGACAGAGAAACTAAGGTGCCATATTGCAGGATCTCCAGAATCAGATTGGTGGCATAGCTCCCCAAAATAACACTAGAGCACCGGGGATTCTGCCTGCCACCACCATTTCAAATCCTCTTGAGCCTCACCAGCAGCTGGATGCCATTAGTACTAGGAGTGGCAAGACGACATCTGTTGTCCCTGTCCCGGCCAGGCAACCACTACTTGCTTCAGCACTTCCAGCCGACGATGCAGAAGTGGGGATGGATAAAGAAGCGCCTGCTCCCAAGCCACAGCCAGTGGTTAAGGAGCATGTACCCCAGCTTCCCTTCCCCACTCGCCTACACAAAGACAAGCTGGAGACTGAGTTTGCCAAGTTCATGGCAATGTTGAAGCAAGTCAACATTAGCATGCCGTTCGTGGAGGCACTGTCGAAGATGCCCAAGTACGCCAAATTCATGAAGGATCTCCTCACCAACAAAAAGAAACTTGGGGACCTCTCGACAGTGATGCTGAGCGAGGAGTGTTCTTCCATCCTGCAGAAGCTAGGCCTAGGTGAACCTAGAACTACTCGGATGATCATCCAGTTGGCTGATCGTTCGATTGTGCATCCTAGGGGTATCATAGAGGATCTGCTTGTTAACGTAGGCACATTCATATATCCTGTTGATTTTGTTATTCTTGATATAAATAAGGATGTGGATGTGCCTTTGATTTTGGGTAGACCATTTCTCGCCACCGCCAAGGCACTTATTGATGTGCATAGTGGTAAACTGATCTTGCGTGCTGGGGATGAACAAGCTACTTTTTCTGTGACTGATAATGGGAAGCATGCTCATGTGCATGATGACTTAGATTACTGTGATATGCTTGTTGATTTTGAGACCGCACTCGTCATAACGAGTGCGGGTACTGACGATGCTCTTGAGCGTTGTATTTTGCTAGGTGAGCAGGCATCGCAGGAGCCGCAGATGGAGGAGCAGTTGGCCGTGCTGGAGAGTGGAGAGTTCCTAGAGAGCGATAGGCTGTTCAAACCAATCTCATCGTCACCTCGCATCACTACCTCCTTGGAGGAGCCACCAGAGCTGGAGCTAAAGCCCCTCCCTCCTCACTTGGAGTATGCATTTCTCCGAGAGGGTAACAAGCTTCCAGTCATCATTAGCTCGACCCTCACACCCGAGCAGAAGGTCATACTAGTGGCCTTGCTAAAGCAGTACGAGCGAGCTCTGGCGTGGAAGATCACTGATATCCGGGGGATCAGCCCCTCCTTCTGCTCCCACTGGATATTGCTAGAGGATGAGATGTGGTCGGTAAGACAGCACTAGCGGAGATTGACCCCGAACTAGGAGGTTGTGGTTCGGGGGAAGATCGTGAAGCTGATGGATGTTGGGATCATCTTCGCCATCTCCGATAGTGAGTGGGTTAGTCTCACTCAGGTGGTGCCTAAGAAGGGCGGGATGACCGTGGTACCCAATGAGAAGAATGAGCTCATACCTATGTGCACAGTGACCGGGTACCACGTCTGCATCGACTACCATCGCCTCAACGACGCCACTAGGAAGAATCATTTCCCATTGCCATTCATTGATCAGATGTTGGAGAGACTGGCAGGGCACGAGTTCTATTGTTTCCTGGATGGGATGTCCGAGTATTTCCAGATCCCCACTGCACCGGAGGACCAGGCGAAGACCACTTTCACCTGCCCCTTCGGCATATTCGCCTACCGGAGGATCCCATTCGGGCTATGCAATGCCCCTGCCACTTTTCAACGATGCATGCTCGCCATCTTTGATCACCTGGTCGGCGAGATTATGGAGGTGTTTATGGACGAATTTTCAGTTTATGAAGACTCATTCTCTCACTGTCTCCATAACTTAGAACTCGTCCTTAAATGTTGTGAAGAGATGAACCTGGCACTGAGTTGGGAGAAGTGTCACGTCATGGTTCGCGAAGGCATAGTTCTGGGGCATAAGATCTCCAAGATGGGGATTGAGGTGGACAGAGGCAAGATCGAGACTATCAGTAAGTGATGACTTGATATATGCACATGTTTTTATCCACCATTTTTATGCCGTTTGAGCCTTATTTCTCGTATCTTAGGCCGATTTCACGCTAGGTTGTTCTCGTTTGTGTTATTTCAGGTCCTAGTACGTGATTTGAGGTTTGGGAGCGAGTTTCGAGTCGATTGGATGAAAGTTGGACATCTGGCAAGAAGCTGAGGAATCCACACGGCCAGACCTAGCAGCCACACGGCCGTGTGGGGGGCGTGTGGAATCCCATTACGCGTGCAAGCCACACTGGTTGTGTATTGGGCCCCTTGAAGCCGTGTGGAAATTCCAGGGAGCTCACACAGTCAGACTAAGAATCCACACGGCCGTGCACTTTTGGCCGTGCAGCGTGCCTGAAGCTCATTAGATGGAACGCCGCGTTTTGGCACTCACACGGATAGACTGGGAAGACACACGCCCGTGTGGTCAGGAAATTCTGGGTTTTAACCCAATTTCGAGCCTATGGAGAGAAAATCGATTTTCTAGAGTAAAAACAGAGCCCTGGAGAGAGAACGTGCGAAGAACAACCCCCTAAGAGTGATTTTGGAGCTGGGTTTCATCAATCAAGCTTGGAAATCATCCTTGGAGTGAAGCTCATCATCCCAGAGCAGATTCTACCCATCTTGATGAGTATGACTGCTTTGTTTGTTGTTTTCCTCTCTCTCTCTCTATGAAGTAGAACCCTCTCTCACTTGGGTATGAAGAACCCTAGTTCTATGTGTTAGGTATCATTGTTGTAACGACATTTGAATTGCGATTTTGTTTGATTATAATCGATTGAAGTCTTTTGATTGAGTCAATTGAAGCTTGATCATCTTTTATTGATTCCTGCTACAACCTGAGATAGATAGAATCTGATTAGGTTGTTAGAGCTTCTTCAATCAGTAGTAGTGAATCTTTTATACGAGAGTTAGTCGATTCACTGCTTGGTTCTGGAATTCAGTTCAGTAGTGGAGTTATGTGTTGATAGCCTCAGCTTTCTGTCCCGGTGAAGACTAGTCGTCTGCCAGGTAGTTTGAGTGAGAGGGCTTGGTCAGCTTAAGAGATTCCAAGCTACTGTCGGATCTTCCGCAGTATAATCAACAGTAAAGCAACCAAAAGTAATTACAACTATGATCTAACTAAGGAGCTAGGGGGACTCATTCCCGAGTGATTCTTCCCTTGCTTTAGAAAATCGAACCATTTCATGCTTTCTTACTACTTTTTTAGTTAAAATCACAATCACTCGACTGAGTTTGCTAGATAATAAATAATCACGAAGTAGGCAGTATATCTAGACCACGGATTGACAAATAGAGATTGCCACTTACTGCATTTCCAGACTGCGATTACACTTGGTCGTAGTTTGGTGTTGTGTTTTAGCGTGTCAAGTTTTTGGCGCCGTTGCCGAGGACCTCTAGGTTATTGTGGAAACGTGAAAGTTTATTACTTTAGCATTTTCTTCACTGCATTTTCTCTCTTCCACCTGTGTGCCTTCAGGGGTTGCTTTTGCTGACTGCGTGCAGGTAGTGCATGACCCGTAGCCATTCGTGAAATTTACTGCCATTAGACCAAGAGCTTGAACGGACTTGCAGGAATTTCAAGCGGGCTTTAAAGGCGCGACTGATTATGGAGGAGGCTCTAGCACAGCTGCAAATCCCCGAGGAGGAAGAAATGGGTGAACCAAAGAAAAACGATGTGGTCTTTCCCGATGAGCAGACCATGGGGTACTGCTGGACCTCTAGAGCCGCGGACATGAGGTCGCCCATCCAGCACCCTCAAGTTCCAGCAAATAACTTTGAGGTGAGCACCTCTGTCATTACCATGCTGCGCGGCTCGGTGGTATTCCGTGGCAAGGAGGGGGAGTGCCCCCGATCACACATGAGGCGATTCCACTAGCTCATCGATGGGATCAAGATCAATGGGGTCCCAATCGATGCCATCCAGCTCAGGTAGTTCCCATTTACTATGGAGGGGAAAACCAAGGAGTGGCTGGACACTCGACCTCCAGGCTCAATCACCACGTTCGCCAACCTGGCGGACAAGTTCCTCACCCGCTACCATCCTCCGTCCAAGACGGCGGGCCTGCAGAAGCAAATCACACACTTTGCTCAGGATGAAGATGAGACCATTCGAGATGCTTCGAAGAGATACATCAGTCTTTTCCTC